CAGGAAAAACTATTTCAGTAGGAGGGTGGTGAAACACTGGAATGCGTTTCCTAGGGAGGTGGTGGAGTCTCCTTCCTTGGAGGTTTTTAAGGCCCAGCTTGACAAAGCCCTGGCTGGGATGACTTAGCTGGGAATTGGTCCTGCTTTGAGCAGGGGGTTGGACTAGATGACCTCTTGAGGTCCCTTCCAACTCTGATATTCTATGATTCTATTCTATGATTCTATGCACAAAGTGGTCTTTACAGTGGCAAAAATGCCACTCAAGGCAATAGACATATTGTAGATTTGCACCAGTGTAAATAAGATCAGAATGTGTTGATGTAAGATTTTTTCTACTGCCACCTATTAGACTTCACAAGGACTTTGGTTCATCTCCTTTTTGGGGGTACAAACTCTGCTTTGGGTACAATGACTTTTGGTTTGTTGTTTGCTTGTGGGACAAGGGGGGTTATGACAGAATTAAATCATACAGTGTAGGATATAGTATGTGTGGAATTACAGGCCATACGACTTCATTGGTCTGCACTTGCTCAATGGCACCCCATTGGGCTGCATTCCAGCAGCTGCCTTATCCAAGTAAGGTTCTAGATAGAGGACCGTCACTGAAAGCCATCCAGACTGCAATCTGGGGCCATCATTTTTTATTGTGTCTCAACTACTTGCCCGCCCCCAGGAAACAAATATTTTTCTGCACTGGGGACCCACAAGCATGATGATGGAGATGGAACTTCATAGCATGAGCACATGACCCAGAGATTTGGGTCTACTGAAGAGTGGAGTGCTGTCTGGGGCGGGAGCGACTAGGGACACATATACAATTGACTTGGAGGAGGGCAAAGCCAGGAAATTAAACTGTATGCGTACAGAGTGACAGATGTGACAATTGTCGGAGAAAAACAGAGTTCTCACTATTTGTTTGGGTACAGCAAGTCAGATGCTTTATTAACTCTCACAACTGTGCAGAGGGAGAGAGCTAAGCAGGTCTCTCAACAGGGAAACAATTACAGCAAGCATTTATACCTTTTGTTACAGACAATAATAAGCAACAGCTGCATTTTGTTTATACATAGGTCATTCTGATATCTTGTTTTGCTCACTAATGTAGACTCGTAGTCTACATTCCATATTATCTACACAAGGTCGCAGCAACTTCTCACACAGTTCTTTCCCACTTGCCTCACACATTCCTCGCTTCTACAAATCTCGCGTTATTAGGGTTACAGTTAGCCTAACTCTTGCTAACGAACTGTCATGCATTGCATGCCCTTCCTGTCAGTTCTTTCTCTGCTTCCACAACCCCCCTTTTGTACTACTAGTACAACAAACATTTTCAAATCTCTATTTGCATTAAATCTCGGAATTCAGATTCTACATCAGATGCTTCTTCAAAACCTTAGGGGTTTTGACTGGATGTAATGACAATGCATGATGAGCATGGACATGAAAGGTATTACTGTTATTACGTCCTTTACAACAACGATAACATACTCCTGCACAACACAAGCAATAACATTCCCATAGTGATAATATGATGGGGTTGTTGTACAATCTTAGTCATATAACACAATATATCATACTTAGTACATAAGGTGGATACTCTATAAGCTGTCTGAAAGGCATTCTTTTTAACTTGATATATATTTTGAAGCATGTGAATTTGCCCTTGTACTTCAGAGATTTTCTGAACGTCTGGTAACAGTGAAAGCAAATTTTGAAATAGATCAGGTACTAAACTAGTCCAGTTAAAGGGTATCTGGAACCTAAGGACTGCTTGCAAAATTCTATCTGCAGGCCAGTAATAATATGATTGCCTGCAGTGGTAATGAGATTAAAATGTATGTCTTGCAATGTGGTGGCTTTAACATACACACAGCTATCATTAGCTTGAAAAAATAAGTGTCCTGTCAGGATAGTTCCTTGTCCCCTACCCTCCCAGCAAACGTAGTCATGAAGAGTAACAACTTCTCCTGGCTTTGGTTTACTGATACACTGAAGCTGTGGGGGTTGTAACGGCCAAAATGTCCATTGACTCCCTAACCCCATCCAAATGTCAGATATAATCCCAGGAGCACTGACTAAAAATCGATTGGGCATACCAGGAGGTCTAATTTCCCAGATGTCTCGGTGAATTACCCAATCCCACATGCATCCTCCCCATGGACCCGGCAGGATTCGGTAAGGGGGAGCCCACACACACCCCCCACCAACCAGTCCATATGCTTGGAAGGAGCACTGAGAATGTCTGCACTTCCACCCAGAAAGTCTCCAAGTTTATCTCCAGTGCCGCAGATCCGAGTTGACGTCTGTTTTTTCAGTTAGGGCAGTGGGCAAA